TCTAAGGCCCCAAATGCACTCTTTTCTTGGGGACAGGGGAGCGGCATAAGGTATGCAGGTAGGATATGAGAGTGGGGCTCCCTAGATGGGGATAAATTATGGGCTAAATGAATTTTTCAGGCTTCACAGGGACAAAAACCATTTTTAACTCATCTCCAAGAAACCTGGCAATTACCATTCATGTACCTGCCTGGATCATTGACAATACATACCATTGGTATGAGCCAGGCTCATACTGAATTTATTGTTCATCCCTGTGTCTCCAGGGAAAGTGAGAGAGCCATTCCTTTTCCCAAGGGAAGTTCTGAGAGTGAGAGGACAGCACCCTAAGGACCTGGGAGAGTTCTACATAGAGTTTACAATGCTTAAACTGCCTAGAAATCTGTAGGCCCAATACCATAAAGAAGTCAGAAGTCAGCTAGGTGGTGCAGTGGATAGAGCTCTGGCCTTGGAGTCAGGAGGACCTGAGTTCAAATCTGGCATCAAACATTTTACAGCTGTGTGACCCTGGGCAAGTCACTTAACCCCAACTGCCTCACTGAAAAAGCAAAAAAAAAAAAAAAAAAAAAAAGTCAGGCACTAATCCACAAAAAACTAGGTGACAGGCAAAGAGGAATTTCAATAAAACTTGAAAATGTCCAGCACAGGTACTTTCTTCAGATGTATCAAAGATGGCAAAGAATATGAGAAAGGCTGGCGAATTTGCAGATTTCTCTGCAAAACTGGCATTTTTTTTGCTTGTGATTAATAGATGTGAGATGGCATGGCATGGTTGATAGACAGTTGATATCTGCCTCTAATGCATATTGGCTGGGCGAGCCTGGACAAATCACTTAGCATCTCAGTGCTCTAGGTAACTCTTTAAGTTGTAGGATAGGTTCTAATCTGCATTGGTAGAAGGGATGTCCTCATTTGAGTTGTTGTCTACACACCAGTGAAATCATAGGTCTGCTCTCTAACTCTCAGAGTCAAAGAAAGCCAGGAAGATAAATCAAATGCAGCTCATAGAAGTTTGTTCTAGTTGTACTAGTCTCCCACTACAGCAGGGACTCATTTTTTTTTTGTCATTTACTGAATAGATTTTTTTATTTCTTCTTTTGTCTTTTTTCAACGTTTATTAAAATTTTTTTAGTTCCAAATTTTCTTCCTCCCTGACAGCCCTCCCTGACCCACTGAAAAGGCAAGCAATGTGATATCAGTTATACGGGTGAAGTCATGTAAAACACATTTCTAAACTAGCCATGTTGAAAAAAAAAAGCAAGAAAAATAAAGTGAAAAAAAATGCTTCAATCTCATGTGCTGAAAAGATTCTAAAAGTCAATTGTCACAAAAACCCCTTGAGTATTTCATTCCTGGAAGCTCAGATCATCTGTTGGCTAGTGATGAATCTCTCCTGAAGCAGAAGGCAGTGTGTCAAGCACACTCCTCAAGACGAAGATCTGGTACCATGGCCAGAGATTCTACAGAGAATAGAGTTCAAGAAGAATGGTCGGGCGTGGTGGTGAATGTCTCTACTTCCTTCTACGTGAGAGGTCAAGTAGGGCTGGTAGATCACCTGAGCTTAGGAGTTCTGAGTTGTGGTAGGGATAATTGCAGATTGGGTATCCACACTAAGTCCAGAACAATATGATGAGCCCTTGAGAGCTGGGGTGTGGGGAGAAAAGTGGGGGGGATGGTTTTTTTTTTTGTGGGGCACCAGGCAGCCTAAGGAAGAACAAATCAGAGGTTAAAACTTCTAAGCAGATTAGTGCTCAAGCTGTAAATGGCTTTCAGCCTCAGTGAGACAGGGAAAGAAATAAACAATGAAAGGAAGAGAAAAAGGAAGAAAGGAAAGAAGAGAAAAAGAAAGGAAGCAAGAAAGGAAGAGAGAAATGAAGAATAAAAGGAGGGGAGAAAGGGAGGAAGGAGGAAAAGAAGGAAGAAAGGCTTTTAAAAGTAAAATCCTGACAATGTTGACTGTTCTTCATTCTTGAAGAGGTGGGGACATGATGCCATGACATGCAAGTGAATTGGACTTAAGTGAGGGAAGGTCTGTGCAAAGTCATCAGCCTCACTTTCTCCTCCACAGCCATGTGGGTCCAGTGGAGAGATATATATCAGGAAGACTGGAGATGGCCCTATTTTTAAGCTACGGTCTTAAATAGGTCTAAGTTTGACTGAGACAATGCCCATTCAGTGATTAAGGCTACTTAAGAAATGACGCAGATAATGGCCTCTTAAGCTAATCAAAAAATAAAAATCAATGTAGGAGGGGAAGACCCTTGTTTGGCAATCAGTGACAGTCAGAATGATTTGAGTTTAAGGAGTGGTCCTTCAGAAAAAAAAAGTTTTCAGGGACCAAAATTTATATTCTTTTGGGAGAGCACCCAAAGGTAAGGGCAAGATACCCTATGTGGATGGGGGGGGGAGAGACAGATGGAGAGAGAGGGGGGCAGAGAGAGAGAGAGGGAGAGAGAGAGGGGGAGGGAGGGGGGGGAAGGAGAGAAAGAGAGAGAGAGAGAGAGAGAGAGAGAGAGAGAGAGCTGGCGCGAGAGTTGGGGGCCAAAAAAAAAAAACCAAACAACTGCCTGCACATGGAAGTCTCTGATAAAGTTGTATTAAAAAAAGAAAACGTACAAAAAAATGGAAGTAGAATTACATGCTTCCAACCCATTAAAAAAATGGTGAGGAGAGGAGCACACAGATAATTCAGGAAGAATTTAAGGATGTAACATAATAAGAATGCTGGGATACAATAAGAATCTAATGTGTCAGGAAGACTCCAACCCAGAATGGGCTGAAGCTTGTGGGGATGGGGTGGGGGAAGGAGGGGCATTTAAAGCTATGTTGGGGCCAAAAAAAAAAAACCAAACAAAAACAAACCCCAAACAAGCAAGCAAAAACCCCAATCACAAAATAAGCCATGTAAGGCACAGGCTTACTTATCACTGGAGGTGATGCAGTGTAAACACAGTGGAAAGAAGAGTAGAGAACCACTCAGTTGCTATTTTACTTTTGTTCCCCTCTAAGGTCAAGGGAACTGGACTTATTTAGAGTACCTAGAGACTGTTATCAATCAATCAGTCAGCATGTATTTCTCCAGTTTTTCCTGTGTACTGAACCCCATGTTAGACACTGGGAAAACAAGAAAAAATAAAATATTTGTCTTCATATTCTATGGGGAGAGACAACATGTATGTGTGTGTGTGTGTGCATGCATGTGTGTGTATATACCCGTGCCTTGGAGAAATTAAAACTAAAAATTCTAAAAGAACTAAGTGGTGTCATTTTTGGTCTGCCATTGGTGATTTCTGATGAATCATGGGAACAGCAATGGTGCTAGAAGACTGGAGGCAGGCAAACGCTGCTCAAGTTTTCTTTTTGGTCCTGATTTTTTTTTGAAAGGGGAAGACACTAACTACAGATATTAACTTGATACTCAAAAAAATTTGAAAATGACTTTTAAAATGGCATGGCGATCACTATGAACTAGCACTGGTTCATGAAGAACAAGTTGTGATAAAATGACCTCGTTTCCTTTTTTGATTGTATCACTAGACAGGCACAAATCTATATTTTAGTGAGGCATTTGACAGTACCTCTATGTTATCCTCACAGACAAGACAGTGATATGGATTGTATAGATGGTAGAGGTTAAGTAGATTAAAAGTGGCATAAAGGGCCAGAGAAACGTTGATTAATGGAACAGTTCCTACTTGGAGGAATGTCTCTAGTGAGCACTGTCCCTGCTCAGTTTTGTTCAGCAATGACACGAGACATTCCTTATTAAATTTGTGGATGGCACACATTTGCAAGGGTAGATAAAATGTTGAATAACAGATTCAGCATCAAGGAAAAAAAAAAGGTCAGCAAGTTAGGACGGGCTAAATCTTAAACTACGAAATGTAATCTTTTGCACTTAGGTTAAAAAATCAACTTCACATTTACAGGTTTGAGGAGATACAGTTAGGTGGTAACTCATGTGGAAAAGACTCAAAGGTTTTGAATAAACTAAAGACTCTATATGAATCAACAGTATGATGCGCTTCCAAAAAAAGCTCATGTACTAAGTGCTTAATGAATGTTTTCTGATTGAAAGGATCATAGGCTACACCTATAGTTACACACATAGTGTAGGGGTGAGGAACCTGGGGCCTTGAGGCCACATGTGGTCCTCTAGGTCCTCAAGTGCGGCCCTAGACAGAGAGTCTTACATACAGAACTTCACAGAATAAATTTGGATTCAGTCAAAGGGTTTCACTTGAGGACCTAGAGAACCACATGTGGCCAGAGACAGAATGAGGATGAATGGATCAAAGTTAATAGGGAAGCAGATTCCAGCTCAATCAAAGGAAGCTCTTGCTGACATCATAGCCTTCCAACAGTGGAATGGGCTGCTTCATTAGGTGATGGGTTCTACCCATCAGGAATATTTTAGCAGTGGAAGGATGACCACTTAATGAGGATATTGTAAGGAGGGTCTTGCTTGGTATCAGAGGCTGGATTATGAGGCCTTCAAGATTGTGTAACTCTAAAAAGTATTATGATGAGCCAAAGGAAGAGTCTGGATGGCGGATGCTACAGACAGGCAGGAGGAATTTTATAGTAATGGAAAAGGATTGGATTAAAAATCTCCAAAGCTTTTAGCATAAGTTCCTTTTGATCAACACTAATATTTATACAAGGCTATGCATTCTAAACAGAAGACAAGCTCCTTCTTCCCACCTCCCCGCCCCTGCCAATGGCATTCTGTTTAGAATGGACGTCCAGTATGAGATGAAATAACTTGAAAAATGCAAGGTAACTGGTGAGTCCTTCGGTTTTTGCCTAACATGCACATGCACGTGCAGAATCCCATTCCGAACTGAAGCTTTTGCTATGTTTCCAGTCACACAGAAAATGGTGATTGCCAAAGTCAAGGAAGAGTAAGCTTATTCCAGCTAGAAATATTTTATTCAAACCACTTTTTTCCCTTCTTGGAAAAACCCAAATCATTCACTGGCAAAAAGCAAATCATAGACTTCATTCATGAAATTCCAAAAGGTTTATTGCAGAGACGCTTGCAATGTGAAAGCCAACTGTTTCACACAAGTTTTAACACAGTAGCACTGGGGTCCAGTCATCTACTCACATGACATCATGAAACCAGAATTTTCAATGTTAAATTACCCTTTAGTCCAACCCTTAACCATACAGAACCTCTTCCCAGACCAGGTCTCATTTTTCTATTGAGGTTTTAGACAGCTTAAAGAAAAGCCTGATGTCTGAGAATATAAACAGATAACTGAAAATGTCTTTCAATCCAAAAATATGGATGGCACATTGTGTAAACTAGTAACTAATAACAGTGTTGGCTAATTATTTTTTTTTGTACAGATACCAATTATTTTCCCTCTGTGGAAAAAAATATCAAAAGACAGGCATTATTATGAGTTAGTGTTTTTCCTTTGACATTTCTTTTCCTACAAAGCAATTATATTTAAGCCCTTTTTTTTTTTGTAACGGTGGAATAGAGGAGGTATATGATTGAAGTCTAACTCGCAACCATTTCTAAATCAGCAACAAATGTTCATTGTAGGTGTCTTTTTATAGTTACAGAATGAGTGGAAGGGACCTTAGAGGTCATCTAGTCCAATCCCCCTCATATTGGGGGTGAAAACTGGGATCCAGAGAGGTGATTGGTCCAAGTTCACCCAGGTAAGTAAATGGCAGATATCCCAAGTCTGCTTGGCTGCCCCTTCTGGGTTCCTTCCACCACAACATACAATACCTATTATTTAATTTTTGAACGATCTTTTAAACACACTTCCTGTCCTTCTCAACATGGGCCTTCTAATCAATATGACAACTCATGTTATTTGTGAAACAAATAACAATCATGTAAGGTCATTGGCATAATCACACTCCTTTCCTATAGACATCATGTTTTTGCAAGGCCTGACATTGGGGGACATGGATTAATCAGGAAGAGGGGGGGACATTAGATCATCTCTGAAATGGGATGGTAGCAAAAAGGCCTTCCTGAAGTAGGCCCCTTAGTGACTGTGCTTGCCATTGTCTGCTGCCTTGCCATACAGGGAGCCATTTCTCATATGGTCATTTGCCTGTCCTGTCAACATGGCTGAGATCTCTCTCTTCATGACTTTGCCAGTGGAGCCTGAAACTGAATTTACTCCTTTGAATAAAGCTTTAGGTTTCTGGCAGAGAGGAAAGAATGACTGAGCTAGGTAGGGATCTTTAGATCAATTTTCATTCTGTAGTCTTATCCCTAGCACCTGGAACAATGCCTTACACATTGTAGGTGCTTAATAAGTACTTACTGAATTGAACTGAGTGAGGTCACTAGTTATTGAGAGGATCCAAACCCAGTCTCCTGTCTTTAGCTATGCTGCCTGTGGAAAGAGAACTGTTTTCTTTTATAGGTTGGTTGGTTGGTGACTGCTGCTGTTTTTGTGGGACCTTATTTCTTTGCCTTAGACTTTAGGCCCTCATGTATCCCCAAACAGACCCTAACAATCTACTCTTGTTCAAAGCCTGGGTCTAAGAAAAAGCACAGACACACATTTTCTTTAAAGGGCTCTGCCAGTCATGAGCACAAATGTACTCCATTATGATGACAGTCCTGGGTGATCCTGACTCCCTTCCAATGAAAAGAAGGCTACATTTATATACTCCTGATCTTTTATAACACCGCCACTCCAAGCACATGAGGCATGTATAACACCACCTTAAGTCTTGTTGACAGCTGCACCACGCCTATTGACAGCCCGGGAGCTGTACTTTGAATTGTACTCAGTACAGCAAATACCCTGTTGAGGTATCCTGGGAGACCTGTAGGGCGCCTCCTCCCTCCCTTCCCTTCAGCTAGGGCTGCTGTGTTATCAGTCACCAGAACTGCACCCTCCCATAAATCAGTTCATTCTTTTCCCTGCATCAGAAACAGTGTCTGCCTAATCGTGGGCTGCACAGGAGGAAGAATCAAAATATTTTTGTTTTAGATCCCTTCAAAAGGCTTTGAAAAATGAAGTATGACCACAAAGTCACTTGACAATTTTATGATTAGACCCAACAAATGGAAAACAGACAGTTTTGAATGTTGCTAACACAATCAGGCATTTCGTGCCAACCAGCTCAACCACCCCATTTCCCAGATCTATTTCTAGATCTGCCAAATGCGACTACAGATGAAATCACTTTTGCACATCAGATATGGGCTCAATGTTAAGTGTGGCAGCAAGAGAGCACCTTGAGTGGGAAGCCACCGGGTTCATGCAGGGGACCCCTCTGGTTTCATTCACATGCTTAAAGGCTGAGCTCCTGAAGACCATTATTCGTCACAGAGGTGCAACAGATCAGAATGCTTTTAAAAATGCTTTTATGAAAACTGAAGTGGGAATATCTTGTCTTTGGGGAAGAGGTGATCATTTGCTAGGGAAGACACTGAGACAGCAAGTTTGGGAGTGACACGGAAGACTTGGCTTAACCAACTTAGTTATGAGATCAGAGATTTAGCAATCTTGGAGGTCATCTAGTCCAACCCCTTCATTTTGCAGACAAGGAAACTGAGGCCCAGAGCTTGAATGACCTCTCAAGGTCATATAGAAAAGGACAGTGTGCAGATTCAAACCCAGATTTGTTTTCCTCTTTGTTTAGGACTAATACCAATGAAGGAGTCATGGAAAATGCCACTGTCATGATATCAAATTGCTAGAATCCGAGGCAAGAGGTTTCTCCAGGGTGGAAGGGGTGGAATTAGGTGCCCCGACTGTAACTAACCTTCAATTAATTCACTTGAGGAAAACTATTTAAATCCCTTGACCAAAACCATGAGTGACGATGTGGAAGATGAAGGGGGTGAAATAGCTCCCAAAGTCTCAGAGCCTTGAACTGACATTTTCCTGTTTGGATCAGGATAGGTCTTACAATTTGGCTTTCTCCCTATTTATGTAACAGTCATAACTGCTCCCCAAATATCTGCTGTGCTGGCTTGAAAGAATTAAGGGTTTTCTATTGGTAATGTTTAAGTCCATTTTTCTCATTCCTTTGATTAAGGTTCTTCCATCTTCAGTTTCCCCTTATCCAAAACCAAGGAAAAGGAATGCAGCTGGCACATGAATGAATGGCTGCCATCAATTGAGTGAGGTCCATCTTGAAGTCCTATCTCATCTTTTCATCAAGAACACATTTAGAGCCATGCTCTCTTCCCTGGCAGAAAATCTTTTTTACTCCCTGGAATATCTGAACCACTAACATCACAGGGTGGCAATGTTAATGAAGTCACAAGTGCCCCCATCAAGTTCACAATCCAAGACTGGGGAAGACGGAATAATCTTTGTGACTGAACTTAAGCCATGTGGACTATGTGGACAAAGCACTGTCAGCATGGCATGGCATTCACTATGGTAGCCTTTCCCCCTGAAAGTAATAAAGAGAGCCCTCATCAAAGCTATCAAACTCATTTAAAAAAATACAAAAGTTTTTTCCCCCTTATGGTTACTATTTACTTGTGACAATATTTGTTAAAAATATTACCTCTGTCTTTGAGAAGAGATCATCCTCTTTGTATAATATGGAAAAATAAACTCTACAGAACACACAGTCAACATTCCCCATCGCTGTCCAGGTACTTCTGGCTATTGCCGTTTCCAACAACTGTGACCAATTTAATGTGAGCATTTTTTTCCCAGAAGGTCAAAACCTTGTAGATACACAAACTAGTCCTTAAAGAGAGGAAAATAAGAAGGGAAAAGGTTCCTGTACCTGTTGTAAGGGGGAGAAATAAGGAAGTGGGATGCTTTATTTGGTGGCAAAAAATAAAAGTGTGATGCTAAAAAGGAGGGGGATATATGCCTCCTCTCATTCGCCCTGGTAATACCTGGGAAAGGATAAATGGGAAGGGCAGGGAGGCAATTTAGCCTAACATCCATCTTGCAACAAAAGTGCTTAACTTGCCTACCCGCGAGATACTTGTAAAAAAACAAAAACAAAAACAAAAACTGGGCTGGATGAATGGTAGAAGACAAAGATACATAAAAACAGTAAAATGTTTATTTCCTTAGGAAAAAAAAAAAAAGGGATTCAAAATGATTGTGATCACACTTCCATTTGCATCTGAGCAAAGCCAAAACTGCAAGCTTAGTCCTTGATTAAGATACCTAGTACGTGAGGCAAACTGCTGCTCCGGCATCACTTCCAGTATTCGTGGGACAACATGCTTTTAATAGATAGTAGCTTCTCCATTTCTTCTTAGCGGAGAAACAAGGCTTGCCATAGCAACCATCCCCATCTCCCAAGCTCAAAATCGCCAGAAAGAAGCAATATTCTGGTCCATCTCTGGACTGGCAAATAGCTTTAAAGAGAGGAGGGGAGGGGAAAAGGTATCAGAGAAGCTGGAACATTCTAGAAATGGAAGTTTGGTATTTGAGTTCATCACTATTTCATCTGATAGAAAATCAGCTGGGCAGCATCTGTAAGAACAACCGTGTCTGTAAGGTGAAATTTTAGAATTTTGCTGCATACCTGGACACAAGAGGAGTGAAAAGTTGCAACAAGTTTTAACTAGCAGCAACAAAGTTTTAGAACAGTTCTTAGCAATATTCCTTTGCAAGTTCATTAAGAAACATTGTAAGTGAATGGGGCATACAATATGGAGACGATCTTCTTTTATTATGTAGTGCTGTTTTTGTGTGTGTGTTGTAGACGACCTTCCCAAAGATCTCAACTGGGTTGTAATCTATTTACACAGTAGTAATTCCTGTTTTGACTGGTAGAATTGGCACTATGTGATATCTTCTTCTTCTGAACAGTAATCACGACCCTTTGGAGAAAAGGAAAAAAAAAGGATATCAAATGAATAAGAAATTCAATGTAGAGATAAAAAAATCAGTCAACAAGTGTAAGTGCTCACCATATGCCAGGCATTGTTCGAGGTATTGGGAATACAAAGACAAAAAATGCAAACAGTCATTGCCATCAGGCAATCAATCAATCAAGCCATCAACAAGTATTTACTAAGTACTTACCATCTGCCAGGCACTGTGCTTCGGATGGGGGCATACAAACCCAAAGGATGAAACAAGATATATTCTCAAGGGGTTTACATGCAGTTGAACTTCTTATGCCCCACTTCTCTTTGATAGCGCAATCTGGGTTTACTGAGTATATAACTACACATAGTAGGGCCTCAAGAAATACTCACTGATTGGTTAATCCCAAATTTTTAGCTGTCTTAAGATGGTGGAGTCAGTCTAAATAATTGCTGGGTGATTTGGGTATGAATGCTACTATTTCTGGTACCTTAAGTTTCCCCAAGAAATTCCAAAAGGGACCAGACATTTAAGAAACTCACATCACCTCAGAAGGAACATTTCTGGCCAAAACTTGAACAACAGTTGCTATCAAAAAGGATGCTGACACCTCACAGTTTCCATTTCTATGCTGAAATTCAGTTTAATACAGGTTCGCTCAGAGGAAGCCCTGGTTCTAATGAATCCTACATCCTACTATACAGATGGTAGCAGGAGACAAGGAAGGGGGAGGTTAATAATAGAATCCTGGAATCCTGGACATTAAAGTAGCCTAAGAGATTGTCTTCTCCAACCCCTTATCTTAGAGAGGAAGCAAATAAGCGGACAGGTTACTTACTGAAAGTAACTGTAAATAAACTGGAAGTAGATGATAGAACTGAAATTCGAATCCAAGTCTTTGGGTTCCAAATCTATGTTACTGAATTCTGCAGGGAAGAGTATTCCTTGAAGCACCAAAACCACTTAAAAATATTAAACATTTTGGATGAAAGTATTTCTAAAGTGTATTGTCCACTTCCCTGATTTATTTGGAGAACACAGAATCTTTTCTAAGTAATTCAATCACCCTTATGAACATCAATTACTGTGGAGGGGCTAATGAGGTGGATGTATTTTAAAATTAAATGGTTACAGACTAGGATATTTTTTACCTTCATGAGTTTCTTTTTAAATAATTCTTTGTTCTCCTCCCTTGATTTCACCTGTCACTTCTTTCCTCTCTCAGTGTTCTTCTTTCTTTTTATAATTGACTGCTTATCATTATAATGTGCTAGGGAGAACAGAGTACTCACAAATGTTTATTAAGGGCCTATCTTGTGCAATGCAAGAGGACTATAAAATCCAAAAGAAATCTGAGAAGCTTCTATTCTGCTAAGGGGGATAAAATGTCAATCGACCGATCAATAAACATTTGTTCATCCCCTACTCTGTGCTAGGAGCTGAGGAGACAAAGGAAAAGGGAAATAGTCTCTGCCCTCAGGAAGCTTACATTCTAACAGAGGAGAAAATATTTATCAAAGCAGGTATAGGCCAGAGGGTCCTTAACCTTTTCTGTGCATGGACCCCTTTGGCAGTCTGGTAAAACCTAAAAATCCCTTCTCAGAATAATGTTTTTAAATGAATAAAACATGTAGAATTACAAAGGAAAGTAGAGGTTAGTAAAAATAAAGATGTATTATTCCCCTATTCAAATTCACAGAACCCTTGAAATCTATCCATGGGGGGAGGGGTGGGAGTGTCTGGAGATGCTAGGTTAGCCTGTGATATTTATTATTTAGTTAACTCTTCAAATGAGTTATATTTGTAGAGTACTTTGTAAAACTTAAAGTGCTAGACAAATACAAGCTATTATTATTAGTAGAGGTATTAGTATAGAGAACTCCCAGGGGAGGGAACTCCATCTACCTATGCATTTTAGCACCTTCTTTTCAGTGACTTGTGACTTACCCAGTCACATGGTGAGTACATGTCACAGACAGGACTGGAACTCAGGTCTTCCTGGCTTCCAGGACTGCCTCTCTCTACAATGCATATTTCAATATAACCGGTTTCCTTTGTAAGCCTATGTATCTTATTTTATGCATATGACTGTGAGAGGGTTCCACAGGCTTCTCCAGACTGCCAAAGAGGGCTATCACGTAAGAAAGGTGAAGAACCCCTGCTTTATAGTGACAAACAAAGTGAATACAAAGTCATTTCGAGTAGAGAGGGATGGCACTAGCATCTGGGGTGGAGGAAATAAAGAAAGGCTTCACATCAAAGGTTGCATTTGAACCAACTCTGGGGGAACCTGGGGATTTTAAGAGGCAGAGATGTGGAGGTGGTACATTCCAGGCATAGGGAATCTCCAGTGCAAAGGCAAGGACATGAGAGATAAGAATGTTGTGTATGAGGCACAGTAAGGCCAGTTCGGTTGGACAGGAAGTGTGGAAAGGGAAGTAATGCATAATGAGACTGGAAAGGTAGGTTGCGGCTCAGCTGTGAAGGCTTTAAATGGTCAACAGAGGAGTTGATTTTTGATCCTAGAGGTACTAGGGAACCATTGGAGTCTGTGGAGTAGGGGGGTGACATGGGAGACCACCCTACCAACCAGAGAGAACAGAGAAAGTTTCATGGTAGAAGTGGTATTTGATCTGAGTCTTGAAAAAAGATAAAAATTCTGAGAGACGGAGATGAGGGTATATATTTTAGGCATCTGGAATCACCTTCTGCAAATGCATGGAAGTGTGAGATAGAATGCCAATTTTGCAGTTAACTTTGGCTAGAACACAGTGTATATGAAAGGGAATATTATTTTAAAAGGCTGGCAAAATCTTAGAATATTATCATGAAATGGATGGTTAGGGAACATCTTATTGATCGCAAGGAGCCAGCATGGTTTCATTAAGCATAGGTTAGGCCAGACTAATGTAATTTCCTTTTTCTAACAGGGCCATTAGACTGGTAGGGAGATCAGGGGAATGCTGTACATGTCATTTACCTCAATTCAGTAACAGATGTGACAAAGTCTCTCATTCTATTCTCATTGAAAAGATGGAGAGGTTTGGACTTCAAAGAAATCAGTTCAGAACAGGTTGAACTGTGGCAGTCTTTGGTGGCACATCCCAAAGGATCTGTCCTTGCCCTTGAGCTTTCTAATATTTTTTTCAATGACTAGGGTAAAGAGGGCACGTTCATCAAATGTGCTGACGACACAAAGCGGGAAGGGAAGACTAACATATTGGATGACAATATCAGGATCCAAAAGAGTCTTGATAGGCTACAGCACTGGGGAGAACTTAATAAGATAAAATGTAATAGAAGTAAACGTAAAGTTGGGTTCAAGTAATCAATGTCATCAACACAAGGCCAGTTTATCTGAAAAATATCTGGAAGCTTTGGTGGCCCACAAGTTCATAATGAATCAATAATGTAATATAGCAATATGAAGGCTTCAGATAAAGGCAGACTGTCTAATGTAAGGGAGTTTATAACCCTGCTATATACTCTGTCTAGGTCAGAACACATCTGAAGTATTGTGTTCAGGGTCATGCCATATTTTAAGACAGACATTGATAAACTGGAGAGCATCCAGAGAAGAGCAAACAAGACATGAAAGGCCATTGGGATCATGCCATAGAAGAACCTAGTAACAATTAGAGCTATCCCAAAGTGGAATGGGTTGTCTCAGAAGGCTACAGGGGTTCTGCTTCTTTAGAGGTCCTCAAGTGAAGGCTGTATGACTACTTTTCAGGTACAGTGTAGAAGGGATTTTTATTCAGACATAGGCTGAAAAGGGCTGTTCCTTCCATCAGGGCTGGACATGTAGCTAGAAGACCTGGATTCAGATCTGGGCTCTGCCACATAATACCTGTATGACTTTGGGCAAGTCATTTCCCCTCTCTGGGTCTTAGTTCTCTCATCTGGGGAAATGAAGGGGTGGTACTAGAAACCTTTTAAAGTCTTTTCCAGCTCTAAATTTAGCATCTTATCTCTGATTCTGAGAGTAGAACTATAGAGTTGTCTCTGGATACAGTTAGACAGTACAGGAAGGAGTCATCTGGGGAGAGTTTCATTGATGAGGTGAAATTTGAAAAGTTTGAAATGAAAGGAAGATCTTGGTTTGTCAGAAAGAAGGGAAGCATCAACAAGGCTTTTGTTGTTATTCAGTTGTTTCAGTAGTATCTGGCTTTTCATGACCCCATTTGGGGTTTTATTGGCAAAAATGCTAGAGTGGTTTGCCATTTCTTTCTCCAGTTCACTTTATAGATGAGGACACTGAGGCAAACAGGGTTAAGTGACTTGCCCAGGATCACACAGGCAGTAAGTGCCTGAGGCCAGATTTGAACTCAGGTCTTCCTGATTCCAGTCCCAGTCTCTATCCACTGCATCACCCAGCTGCTCTTATAAGACTTTAGCTAGAGACTATCACTGGGCAGATAACAAATACATTTTATCCTGCTAACCCTATGAGTTTGCAGCTCAGAACATATTTAAAGATAATCCTCTGATGATGACAAAACTCCAACTCTCATTAGTCAAAGCTGACTAATCAGCAGGCCAGAATGATGCTTTAGACGAGGGACCGTCTATGAAGCAGTAAACAGTTTTAACATATACAGACACATAAACGTGGACCAGACGAAGAAGTAACTCAACTCAATAAATGAATCTTAGCTGCAGATAGAAAAGCCGGATAGTGGAATGAATTACAGGTGTAATTATCAATTACAAGTGATAAATGTTTTCTCTTTTGAAAATTAGACCTCTCGTATAAACCAAGAAGATTGTAATTTTGAATTTCTGATCACAGCAGCTTCTAAGAAATCATTATTAGTATTTTGGGTTAGAATTGCATCTCTGGATTTGGAAATTCCTTCTTCCAGTGAAAAGCTGGTTATTTCCTCTGCAATTTATGAGCTTTTGTTATTGTCTGGGGGCACTGAAAGTTTCAGTGACTTGTCTACAATCACTGAGTGTCAGAGCCAGGATTTGAACCATGGTCTTCCTGACTTCAAGGCCAGGCTTGGAT